TTACAGCATGGCCTTTACCCCCAAGAACATTCCAGGGGCCCCCAGCTCATTCAGGGGAGAAGCCAAAGGCTCACCTGGCCCCCTAGGCTCCTCGTGCCCCCCACTCCTATCTCACTCCCTCCTCCCTCTGCCTATCCTCTCCCTGGCCAGCTGCCGCAGCCACAGCAACCTCCTTCAGTCCTTCAGTGTTCCTAGCCAACTCCCACCTCGGGGCTTCACAGCCACTCTGCCTGGAATGCTCCTTCCCACGTGGTCTTCAGCTTCATTCTCTCAGTCTCAAGATATTCCTCAAAAGTCACCTTCATGGGCAGGCCTTCCTTGGACATCCCACCAAAAATGTCAGCACTTCCCTTTGCTTCCCTCTTCCTGTTCTCCCTTCCCTCCTTATTTCTTCTTGGTGCTGGTAATTACCTACCACAAGGAAAGACAGGACCAGAGATGTCAGGATGATGGGACAGCCCCCCTAAGGCCAGGGAGTGTTAAGAGGAGCAGCCTATGGAAGAGCAGGCGCTGAGGGAGGAGAGAACTGGAGGCACAAGGGGGCAAGCAAGGGCATTTAGAGAAGAAAATGACCCGTGGGCTCCAAACTATTGAGTAGAGGTGATTTCTAGAGAGAGATGATTTCATGGCTGATGAAAGACTGACAAAAAGAGTATTTTTCTAATTTACCCTTGGCAGGAGAGTAAATTAAACTGTCACCTTGGAGGACAACTTGGCAGTGTCTATTAAAATGTGACCATATAGTGCAGAATCCAACTGTTCCATTTCTCAATATCTTCCTTATAAAAGGAAAACAAACCTCACACATGCACAAGGATGCATGCTGTGAATGTTTTCTACAACATCCTCAGTGATAGCAAAATATTGGAAACAACCAGGAAAAAATGGCTAAATAAGTTGTAGTACATATATCATGTAAAATACTACGCAGCACTGAAGAAGAATGCAGCCATTCTATGAGTGTGACAGGGCTGGCACACACGCTGTGGTGCAAAGAAAACAAATCGTGGTCCTGAATGCCATGGTCTCACTGCTACTGAAAAGGACAGAGTAAGAGAAGAATTAGCGGTGATTTTTAAAATGTTGTCCTTTTCTATAATTTTAAAGTTTTTTTAAAAAACTGTGAATCTGTGTTACATTGATAATCTGATTTTAAAAATTTAGAGTTCAAAATACATATTTGTTTTTACCCTCAAAAGCATTTTAAAGAAACAAGAAAGAAGGTGAGTCCAAGAGGGATGGGGAGCGCTGGGAAGCCATTGAATGTGGGATGGTTTCCTGACTTATGAGAGGGCAGGCTCTGGACCTAGTGAGCCGAAGGCTCCCTGCAGCAGGTAAGCTGGTGGAAACAGCAAAAAGCAAAGGCAGCAGGCACAGGCGGCTCTTCTCACAGTAGGGGAGGGGAAGAGCATTTGGAGGAGAGCAAGAGGAGCATTTTTGTGGCTGAAGGAGACTCGAGGGTTGCAAGGTATCAGCAGGTGATTGATTTGTAAAGTCAGGTCTGTACATCAGTGAATGATAAGCCACATAATACCGGCAGCCAACAAAGGCCAGGGTGTTCACCACGGCAAAGCAGGGAGCATCTGCGCCCCCCACAACTTTAGACCCAGCACTTACCACACAGCAGGCAGAGAGTGGTACCTTTGTAGGCCCTCCTCTGTAAAATCTGCATCTGAATTCTGTGTGTTTCTTTAAAAATTATAGCTCTTTATCATTTCTTGAAGCCCTGCTGGCTTTAGAAATAGGCCTGATCTTTTCTGAACTTACCATGCCTTTAGCAACCTGAAAATTTTTGTTCTTTCTTTATTATCCATGAATTATAATAGCTCAGCAAAATGTTTCCACTATGGCCTCAATGCTGGTGAAGCTAAACTAATGTTTAACAAAAAGTTCTAAGTAATTTCCCTGGCCACGCTTGCCCCTTGTGTGCTGTACTTAAGTTTGCCAAATGACCCACTCAGAGGGTTTGGAAGGAACTGAAACCAATCCATAAAATAGAATCCATCCTATGTAACTGAGACACCCTGTGTGCCATTCTCCTGTGCTACTATGCATCAGCGGCCCTCGCTCGTGGGCATAGGTATGCCTCTGTGCTGGGTGGAGGAGGGAAAGAGACCTGTTTACCTCGACTTCCTGACCAGCGGCATTTAAATCATTTGCAGATGGTGCACAATTCCACCAGCACTGAAGAGGAGGGAGTCTTTTCCATGTCCCTTTCGTTGATTTAAATCCCCCTTGAAGAATGAGGTGCCACTTCAAAGAGGCGGGCAGACTGCGGGTGGCCTTACAGCTTCTGGTTGATTTATGCTGGAGGTTAGCCACTGCCTTGCACAGACTTTGTTTCAGGGAGTATATTTATCTGACCTTTCTTTGACTAGACAACCCCACAGCAACTCATGGGAGGAAATGGGTGCTCCGTGTAGAGAGGTGGCATTTGGATGAGCTACAGGAATTCCGGGGCATCTGGTGTTTGATCCCTTAAGCCTGCCCTGGCCACCTTACAGCCAGCTCACCACCTCCCAGATTGATGGGAAGGGAGTGTCCTGGGGCTGAATAGTCAATGTGGACTCTGAGGCAGCTTGTCGCCTTACCAAGAATCAGACTTAGGTCACTCTGGGTCCACAAGGGTCGTGGTGCCCAGGGCCATTCTGTGTTTGCTTCTTCAGTGAGCCTGTATGAAAACCAGGCGCTTGGAGAGAACTGTGGTCAGTGAGGAAGACACATGCCCTTTAAGACCACGAGAGCCTGTGCTTTGCAACCCTGTAGAGGGTAGAGTGAGGAATGGTGTGTCTCTTAAGAGGGTTTCTTCCTATTGGGCTTCATTTGCTCAAAGGTGAGGTGGACCCTCATTATTCAGCACCCCTCAACTCCATAGGGTTAGTGATTCGGTGGATCAAATCCTGTTTCTGAGCTACACCATGCCATGTAAGAGTGTAAGAGTGCCGGTGTCCTCAAAACAAACTCCAAGCTCAGACGCCATGTGAGGCTCAATCAGCAGGCCCTACAGGAGGGCCAAGGGCAGGCTACAGTGTGCTCACCTCCTGGGGCCTCCTCCCATAGAGCCGCTTCTCACCCACAGTCCATGCACCCTCACCTCTCCAGGCCTTAGAGAGTTGGCACTGGGTGTTAACCCAGAGTGGCAGCACTTTGCCTCACAGGTGGGGTGGGGGGGCAGGTGTAAGGTGGAAATGGAGAAGCTGTTTTGTTCCTGATTTCTTCCTGTCAAATTGAAATCCATCCTCCAGGTGTGTCTTCAGACAAATGCAGCTCCTGTCCTGAGGGGTTGCTGCTGAGAGAGCGTGGGATCCCAGAAATCTCTGCCCAGGGACTGCCTTTATGTCTCCCTAGACGATCAGCTGTGACCGCTACATTTACACAAGTTATGGGTTCAAACTGAGTGCCTTCTTTAAAGATGTTTAAGAAGAAGACACTTAAACAGGATAAAATATCATAAATATGCCAGTGAAAAAGGTGCAGGCATTTTTTAGAGACGCATTAGCTGATGCAGCTCAATTAGGGCCGCCTCTGGGTGCCCAGGGAGTGCTGTCTTGTTAATGGAGATCCTTGCTGAGTCTCTTTCTGAAGTTCCTCTCCAGAAGTGAAATTAAAATCACGCAATTAAAATGTTCACAGTTGGGGCTGGATGTTCTTGAACTGATTGAAAGATGAAGAAGTGGACACACCAACATTTTGAAACAGCAATTGTCTCTGTAATTAAATGCAATTAACTGACATAACTGTTTGCTTTTCTCCATGTAAAACTGATTGAAATGCCAAGACTTTAAAGAATATGCCCCCATCTGTTTTTTCTTTCCATTCTAACCAAAATTCTCACCAACATATGAAGACCATCAAAGGTAATGTTTGGCACACCCACTCTAATATTGATGTTATGGGGTAAACATATCCGGGAAACTGGGGAGAAATACACTGGAAAAAACAGAGCTCTAGGCTATCCAATGTACATCATTTCTTCTGAGGCACACACTTTCGCTTCTTCACAATAGAAAGATTAAATCTAACAATTTTTCCATGGCTGATCTCTGAGGAAGGAGCCGTTGAATGTAAGTGATAACTAAAACACAGATTCCAAAGGTAAGACTAAAAAGTTAGTTCATTCACTTTTCTAAAAAACTTTTTTTCCAGATTACTATAGGCAATCTGGAAAACGCTGAAATAATAAAGAGAAGAAAGTTTCCCATAGTCTCAACATGGAAGATAATCAATAGATATTTTCTTCATCCCTACATACATATTTGAATTCATATTGACTATATATTTTAAACATGTATTATACATATTTGTAGCCTAAGTTTTTACTTATGTTGCAAGTATTTTTCTTGCCAGTAAAAAAGTTCATTAGCATTTTTATAAATGTCCAAATAAAATCTCATCACAGGGACATTCTACCATTTACTTGGCCATCCTCTCATTATTGGACATATAAGTTATTCACAGTATTTTGCTATCATAATAATACAGAAAAGACACCTTGTTGCAAAAATCTGTCTGTATTCTTTACTTTTTTTCCTTAGGAAGCTTTCTTTTAAGTGCAATTTCCTGGACTAAAGATTCAAATAATTTTTTGAGGCTTTTGGTAGGTACTGCCAGATTGCCCTCCAGAAGGTGCCCAATTTGTACTTCCATCAGCAGGGTAAAAAGTTGCCTATTGCCCTGAGTCTTCTCCAGCACTGACTATGGTCTCTATAAGATTAAGCCTCTGCAAAGCCCAATAGCCCTTCACTAGAGAAAGCTCATTGTTTAGCAGATCACCTTGGTCTATGACAAATAGTAACTGAAACTTGAATTACTCAGGCCTCTGGCCATGCTTTCCAGCAAAGGTGAGGGCACCTGGGACCAGCACCCAGTAAGTGCCTACCAGGGTGGTTGAGTGATACCCATGAGCAGCTAAATGGCATACAAGCTACTGTCATCATGAGTACTGCTATCAATCAGGTTAGTTTGAAGTCTGACCCCATGTCACCCACCTCCCTTCCTAGCTGTGTTGGCCAAAGATGGACACGAGGTCATCCTAGAGAAGATAGAAGACTGGAATGTGGTGGAACTCATGGTGAATGAAGACGTTGTCTTCCACTGCAACATTAAGGACCTGGAATTTGGTGAGCACTTTAGCAACGTTTCCAGCCAGCATTTTGTCTCCTCTAAGAAGTCCCTCAATTTCTAGTTGAAATGATCAGTGCATCATGCCTGGATTCAAATTGGGTTTCTTTCTGAGTATGAAACTCCTACTGAAATCCCTGTGCCCTGTGGCACACACAGGAGTGCATCCGAACCACACAGTAAAGTGTGTGATGCTCTGAGTTTCCCCAAACACTGAAAACAGAAGAGGAAGGAAAATGAAGTGAAGCCCTGGACTTCCAGGGATGTGATGGGATTAAGGGATAACAGTTTTTTGTACTTCAATAATATGTATTCTACTATTATTTGCTTTGAAAGCTGCTTTTGTTCCATTTGTTTATTCTATCTAGACTTGCTAAGACAATTAGAGTTGATATGCCAACAGTGCATGACACTATCAGCAACGTTCAAGCGATTTCTTTGCCCTGGAGATCTTCAGGCGTGGCAGGCTGTCACCGTCCATGCCTCTCTGTGCTCAGAAGTCAAAGCTTTGCAATCCACTCTATTTAACTCTATTAAAAACTAGTTAACATTTTACTTGCCCATGGCCTTTGAAAATGCCCTCTGGGTGGAAGCCATGTCTAATACGATAATAAACTGTATATGATGAAGCTAACCAAAAGACAATTGTATCTATTTCCCTAGGAGGTGACGGTACACTAGACCCACTATGCGAAAAGGCCCGGATAGCTGTGCTGAACACCTACTGATCTCCTCGTGGAACAAGCATCTTCAATTGGCAGAACAGCAGCTGCCCCAGCCATTCTATAATGCAGGCAGAAGTGGCTGTGCTGGGGTGTGGACACTGGGCTCTACTAGTGAGAACAGGGTAACTCTGGCCTGACTTCTAGCCTACACATCCTCAGGGTTCTCACCTGGCTGCACAGGAGTCCACAGAAATAATGAAAACCACGTATTTGTAGCATCTCTCAATCTCAACCCATTGGGAGAGTCCTCCAATATCAGATACACATTGAGCTGAAGGAAATAATAAAATGCAATTAAATAGCAAGGTGGCATCCCTTACTAATAACACGTAGTTGCCAGAAGCATCTGAGATTTCATTGTTTAGTACTCGAAGAGCTCAGAACAGGTAAAATTAAAGAGAAGTTTGGGGAAGGGTGGGAATAAAGGCTTTTGACAGTCTGAACCAAAAGCAAATGATAATATTTGGAAACCTTGCTATTCCTACAGATTTATTTCTGGCTCCTGAGGGAATAAATATTTTAAATTGCTAATATAAAATTAGCTGAAATCAAATCTTCAGTTATTCTCATCTAAAACAAGAAAATGACCTGTCTTCTTTTGCATCAAGATTGTCTAAGGAGGGCATGATAGAGTCCTCAGCAGAATGTGAGATGGCTCCCTGGTCCCTCTGGAGGAGAACACAGCCCCATAGAGTTAGAGGGTTTTCTCTATGTTCAGTGTGAAAATCAGTTATTTTTACTTTCTAGTCTTATGCACCAAAGCATAGTATATATATTTTTTATTTGAGACAGAGTCTTGCTCTGTTGCCAGGCACCAGGCTGGAGTTCAGTGGCACGATCTTGGCTCACTGCAACCTCCACCTCCTGGGTTCAAGCAATTCTCCTGCCTCCGCCTCCCGAATAGCTGGGACTACAGGCACACGCCACCAAGCCCAACTAATTTTTGTATTTTTAGCAGAGAGAGGTTTCACCATTTTGGCCAGGATGGTCTCTATCTCTTGACCTTGTGATGCGCCCATCTCGGCCTCCCAAAGTGCTGGGATTACAAGCGTGAGCCACCATGCCTGGCCCTATATTCTTAACTCTAGTGTAACAAAGAGGGGGAAATGCAGATACATCAAATGGGAGGTCATGATAAGAAGGCCTCACACCTATGGACGAAAGCCAGATTCCCTAACAGAAGACTCTGGACCCGGAGCACCTGTGCTGAAGGAGCAGGGCCTTTAGGATCCCTCCGAGAGCTGCGGCCTCACCCCTATGAGAGCAAGCCTAACCATCCCCCCAGGCAGCCTCAACCCCTTCTGCACCTGAGAACTTCAAAGGCCACCAGGGACCATGAAATTGCTTGCACAGGTTCTTTGTCACATGTGACAAAATAGAGGGTCTAATTTAAAAACCTCAGCCCAAGCTACACTTGTCAGAGTTGATTCAGGGATTGAATCAACTATTTAATTGATGCAATTAATTAAATTGAATCATATTTAAGCATCTCCTTATTGAGAAACTGAGGCTCAAAAAAGATTCTTCCAGTGTCTGGTACCACTTTTCACATATCTTTTGTAACCCTAGATTTAGTCCTTTTTGTCAAAGACCAGTTTAAGTTACTATAGATGCAGCATTCAATCTTTGTTTCAGTATAACATTTTACTACAACAGAAATCCATTCTCATTAAAGAAAAATGGAAAAATACACGTAAAAATAAAGTACAACTTTAATAACATTTTTATATATTTCAATTTGGGTTTCTTCTATTTATGTCTGAATATTCATAAAGAGATAGACATGCAGAAATTGACTTCGTCCATTTGAGATTTGTGCACAATTTTGTAGGTTTTTTAAAATTTTTCAACTTTTATTTTAGATGCTAGGGGTACATGAGCAGGTATGTTGAATATTTTTTAAGACATAACATTTTACATAGAGCCACTTCCCACATGACTAAAGCATTTGTTGGCCGGGCACCATGGCTGACACCTGTAATCAATCTCAGCACTTTGGAAGGCTGAGGAAGTTGGCTCACCTGAGGTCAGTAGTTCAAGACCAACCTGACCAACATGGTGAAATCCCGTCTCTACTAAAAATACAAAAATTAGCCAGACATGGTGACCTGCGCCTGTAATCCCAACTGCTCAGGAGGCTGAAGCAAGAGAATCTCTTGAACTCAGGAGGCAGAGGTTGCAGTGAACCGAGATCATGCCACTGCACTCTAGCCTAAGTGACAGAACAAGACTCCATCTCAAAAAAATAAAAATTAAAAAAAAGCATTTGTGGGAGAAGATCCAAGATGGCTGAATAGGAACAGCTCCAGAGTGCAGTTCCCAGCAAGAACAGTTTAGAGGATGAGTGCTCACCACATTTCCAAACAGGTTTTCACTGCCCACAGACCAGGAGATTCCCAGGCCAAAAAGCACCACAAGTTTTCAGTGCAGAGGTTTCAGCACTGGTGCTGTGTTGAAGCACAGAAACTCACACAACTCTGGGCTGCCTTTTTGGCTGGCGCCCAGAACGCCTGGGAGACAGAGCTGCCCATTCAACTGAAAGGGAGGGGGCTAAGACAGGGAGCCAGGGGATCCGGCTCAATGGGTACAACCCTCACAAAATAAGCAATCTGAAACACTCTGGATTAAGAGTTTCTCAGCAAGCACAGCTGGACGCAGGACCGTCCAGCTTAGTGGGGGAAAGGGTGTCCCTCATTACTGAGGCAGTCCACCACTACCAAGGCAGTTCACACAGCACAGGGCAGAGCCCGTAGCAGCTCAGCAATGCCTCTGCTGGCAGACTGTGATTAGACTACTCCGTACCAGGCAGGGCATCTGTGAAAAAAGGCAGCAGCATGACAGGAACTTATAAATAAAGCCAACCTTCCTAGGACAGAGCACCTGGGAAAAGAGGTGGTTATGAGTTCAGCTGCAGCAGACTTAAAGGTACCTGCCGAGCAGCTCTGCACAGAACAGTGGAGCTCCCAGAACAGCACTTGAGCTCCTGTAAGGGACAGACTGTCTCCGCAAGCAGCTCCCTGGCCCCCGTATACCTAAAGAGACACCTCACAAAGGGGAGCTCAGGCCAACATCTGGCAGGTACCCATCTGGGACGAGGATAGCAGAGGAAGAAACCTGTGGCAACCCTTGCTGTTCTGCAGCCCCCATGGGCGAACCACAGGCAAGCAGGGTTTGGAGTGCACCTCCATGCAGCAGAGGGGCCTGTTAGAAGGAAAACTAAGAAGCAGAAAGAAATAACTTCATCATTAACAAAAAGGTCATCCACTCAGAGACCCCATCTGAAAGTCACCAACTACAAAGACCACAGGTAGATAAAACCACTAAGATGGGAAGAAACAGTGCAAAAAGGAGGAAAACACCAAAAACCAGGAGGCCTCTCCCCATCCAAGGGATCACAACTCACCAGCTAGGGATCAAAGATGGATGAAGAATGAGTCTGATGAATTGACAGAAACAGGCTTCAGAATGTGGGTAATAACAAACTTCTCAGAGCTAAAAGAACATGTTCTAACCCAATGCAAAGAAACTAAGAACCTAGAGAAAAGGTTAGATGAGATGCTAACTAGGATAAACAGCTTAGAGAAGAATATAAACAACTTGATGAAGCTGAAAAACATGAGACCTTCATGAAGCATACACAAGTTTTAATAGCCAAATCGACCAAGCAAAAGAAAGAATATCAGAGATTGAAGATCAACTCAATGAAATAGAATGAGAAGGCAAGAATAGAGAACAAAGAGTGAAAAGAAATAAACAAAGCCTCCAAGAAATACAGGACTATGTGAAAAGACCTAATCTACATTTGATAGGTGTACATGAATGTGATAGAGAGAATGAATCCAAGCTGGAAAACACTCTTCAGGATATTATCCAGGAAAAGTTCCCCAACCTAGCAAGGCAGGTCGCCATTCAAGTCCAGGAATACAGAGACCATCACAAAGATATTCCTCAAGAAGAGCAACCCCACGGCACAGAATTGTCAGATTCACCAGGGTTGAAATGAAGGAAAAAATGCTAAGGACAGCAAGAGAGAAAGGTCAGGTTACCCACAAAGGGAAGCCCATGAGACTCACAACAGATCTCTCAGCAGAAACTCTACAAGCCAGAAGAGACTGGGGCCAATATTCGACATCCTTAAAGAAAAGAACTTTCAAACTAGAATTTCATATCCAGCCAAACTAAGCTTCATAAGTGAAGGAGAAAGAAAATCGTTTATGGACAAGCAATTGCTGAGTGATTTCGTCACCACCAGGCCTGCCTTACAAGTGCTCCTGAAGGAAACACTAAACATAGAAAGGAACAGCCAGTACCAGCCACTCCAAAAAGTACCAAATGGTAAACACCACCAACAGAATGAAGAAAACGTGTCAACTAATGGGCAAACAACCAGCTAGCATCAAAATGGCAGGATGAAATTCACACATAACAATATTAACCTTAAATGCAAATGGACTAAATGCCCCAATCAAAGGACACAGACTGGCAAATTGGATAAAAAGTCAAAACCCATCAGTATGCTGTATTCAGGAAACCCATCTCACATGCAAGGACACACATAGGCTCAAAATAAAGGGATGGAGAAAGATTTATCAAGCAAAATAAAAGAGTTAAAAAAAAGCAGGAGTTGCAATCCTAGTCTCTGATAAAATGGACTTTAAACCAACAAAGATCAAAAGAGACAAATAAGGGCATTATATAATTGTAAAAGGATCAATGCATCAAGAAAAGCTAACAATCCTAAATATATATGCACCCAATACAGGAGCACCCAGGTTCATAAAGCAAGTTCTTAATGACCTACAAAGAGACTTAGACTCCTAAACAATAATAGTGGGAGACTTTAACACTCTACTGTCAATATTAGACAGATCAACAAGACAGGAAATTAACAAGGATATTCAGGACTTGAACTCAGATCTGGACCAAGCAGACCTAATAGACATCTACAGAACCCTCCACCCCAAATCCACAGAATATACATTCTTTTCAGCACCGCATGGCACCTACTCTAAAATTGACCACATCATTTGAAGTAAATCACTCCTCAGCAAATGCAAAAGAATAGAAATCATAACAAACAGTCTCTCAGACCACAGGGCAATCAAATTAGAACTCAGAATTCAGAAACGAACTCAGAATTGCACAACTTCATGGAACCTGAACAACTGGCTCCTGAATGTCAACTGGATAAATAATGAAATGAAGGCAGAAATAAAGATGTTCTTCAAAACCAATGACAATGAATACACAATGTACCAGAATCTCTGGGACACATTTAAAGCAGTGTCTAGAGGGAAATTTATAGCAATAAATGCCCACAAGAGAAGCGAGGAGAGATCTAAAATTGACACCCTATTGTCAAAATTGAAAGAGCTAGAGGAGCAAGATAAAAAAAAAAAAACTCAAAAGCAAGAAGAAGACAAGAAATAACTAAGATCAGAGCAGAACTGAAGGAGATAGAGATACAAAAATTTCTTCAAAAAATCAATAAATCCAGGAGCTGGTTTTTTGAAAAGATCAACAAAATAGACCGACAGCTAGCTAGATTAATAAAAAAGAAAAGGGAGAAGAATCAAATAGATGCAATAAAAAAATGATAAAGGGGATATCACCACTGACTCCACAGAAATACAAACTATAATCAGAGATTACTACAAACAACTCTATGCACATAAACTAGTAAGCCTGGAAGAAATGGATAAATTCCCAGACACTTGCACCCTCTCAAGCCTAAACCAGGAAGAAGTTGAAACCTTGAACAGACCAATAACAAAGGCTGAAGTTGAGGCAGTAATTAATAGCCTACCAACCAAAAAAAGTCCAGATTCAGATGGGTTCACACCTGAATTCTACCAGATGTACAAAGAGGAGCTGCTACCATTCCTTCTGAAACTATTCCAAACAATCCAAAAAGAGGGAATCCTTCCCAAATCATTTTATGAGACCAACATCATCCTGATACCAAAACCCGGCAGAGACTCAACTAAAAAAGAACACTTTAGGCCAATGTCTATGATGAACATAGATGCAAAAATCTTCAATAAAATACTGGCAAACCAATTGTAATAGCACATCCAAAAGCTTATCCATCACAATCAAATAGGCTTCACCCTAGGAATGCAAGTCTGGTTCAAAATATGCAAGTCTATAAATGTAATTCACCACATAAACAGAACCAAAGACAAAAACCACATGATTATTTCAATAGATGCAGAGAAGGCCTTCAAGAAAATTCAACAGCCCTTTATGCTAAAAACTCCCAATAAACTAGGTATTGAAGGAACATATCTCAAAATAATAAAAGCTATTTATGACAAACCTACAGCCAGTATCATACTGAATGGGCAAAAACTGGAAACATTCCCTTAGAAATCCAACACTAGACAAGGATGCCCTCTCTCACCACTCCTATTCAATATAGTATTGGAAGTTCTAGCCAGAGCAATTAGGGAAGAAAAAAAATAAAGGGTATTCAATTAGGAAAAGCGGAAGTTGAATTGCCTCTATTTGCAGGTGGCATGATTGTATATTTAGAAGACCCCATCATCTCAGCCCAAAATCTCCTTAAACTGATAAGCAACTTTAGCAAAGTCTCAGGATACAAAATCAATGTGCAGAAATCACAAGCATTTCTATACTCCAATAACAGACTAACATAGAGCCAAATCATGAGCAAACTCCCATTCACAATTGCTACAAAGAGAATAAAATACCTAGGAATA